ATTCAGTGCGCATGTCTGACCCCGACCGAGGGGGAGACTAGCTGGTTGTGACGTGGGACCTGGCCCTGGGCTGTAGGAATCCAGGGAACAATTCACTGAGTCTGGCAATGTCTGTGCGCGCCCTGTGACGTGATAGACACACAAATCAATGTCACCGCTGACTGAGCGTGTCCGCTTGTCCGTTACTTGGGCAGGCTCCGAATTTCAGAGCCAGGGAAGTGAGTTGGATCCCAAATGGAGCCTCCAGCTGCTGTAGTTGAAGGGGGAGGAGGGAAAATCTCACTCTTCATCGCGAGGAGGTGCCCGCCTTTCTCTGCTTTGCCCTCAGGGGTTTCCTGTCACCGTGAGTCTCTGGCACAGTAACAGCGGGCGGTGCCCTCGGGCTCCAGGCCGGTCATTGGCAGGTGCAGCAGGTTGTTGGGATTGTCCGTGGAGACGGTGAAGTGCCCTTTGGCCGACTCTATAAAGAACATTTTCCCCGAACCTGGCGCACCCAGCGCTGCTGGAGGTGAGCCCAGAGGCTTTGCAGGGTCTCCGGGACTCTCCGGGATTCTAGACTCCACCCCAGACGCCACCAGCTCCACCTCGCACCGGGCACCTACGAACACAAAACACCCCAAACACTTCGGAGCTGGCGGCGAGCGAGGGAAGGAATCTCCCTGCGCAGAACATGGCGAGGGGCGAAGGGCAACAGGAGACCCGGCAGGGGCTGCGGGGCGGGGGCCGTTTGGGAAGTGTCTCTCGGCGCCTGGGCTTTAAACAGGCAGCGTCCGCCCGGAATGTGCCTGGCTCGTTCGCGGTGTAGAAAGGGCCCCTGGGCTGGGGGCTGGGGGCTGGATCACACCCACAATTACCGCCCTGCACGGGGGGTTGTTTCTGTTGCGCCTTGTCAAGCCGAAGATTGAATCAGACCCCTTGTCAGGAACCGGACGGAGGGTGCCCGCGCTGCCCGGCACCTCAGCCTGGACGGTTCCGCATCACTGCAGGGAGCGGGGTGGAAAAGGTGTAACGTGCACTGGGGAGTCAGTGGGCCAGCCAGGCTGAGAGTCTCAGACCGGTACCGTTCTCTGGCCTCTGCCATGCAGCAGCTCAGACCGGGCCCTTCAGTCTCTGACCCTACGAGAGTGTCCTAAGGGGGTTAGGAACAGACATTTCATTTCTTTCTGCTTTCCTGCAATTTGGACACCGAACTCTCGGGTTATGTACCAGCCCGGGGCCTTTATGTATCGGGGCCCATTTATTGTAACTACTGAGGCTGAGGCTGATAAAGAAGCAGGTTTGTGCTTAGTGGGATTTTCAAGAACGCTGGCACACCCAGCCTGCACTGAGATCTATGGGATTTAGGCACCCAAGTGATTCTGGAAGCTTCACCAAGGAGCTTGCGAACAGGTGATTGCTAACAGGGAGTTTTGAGAGGGAGTTCTCTAGGTGAAGGAGAAGCAGATACAGGACTCTTGAGGGAAGTGTGTTTTGTCATTGGGGCTTTCTTAGTGTGTGCAGAGCTTGTGTTTGTTTGGTGTGTGGTGGTGTTGGTTTTTTTTTTTCTCCCCCCCCCGCCCCTGTTTGAGTGAGGCTTTAGAGGGAGAGTTCTCCAGGTAGAGGAGAAGTAGATACAGGAGTCTTGAGGGAAGTGGGTGTTGTGCGTGGGGCTGCTTGATGTATGCTGAGCTTGTGTTTGTGAGTGAGGGTTGGTGTGAGTTCTTTTTTTGTTTTTTGTTTGTTTGTTTGTTTGTTTATTTTATTTATTTATTTATTTTCCCCTGTGTTTGAGAGTGAGGCTTTTTTCCCCCCCCCATTCCCTCCCCTTGATAGTGTTTGTGCTGTGATTGGTAGGGGCTGTGATTGGCAGGTGGAAACTGTTGGCTTCTAATTAAAGTTTGAATTCTAGAAGCCTCTGCAGATTGGCTGAGCCTTGGTAGGGGGAGGGGCTTTATAAGGCAGTGGGCAAGC